ATAGGAGCCGCGCCAGTATCATATTCCAACACTATTCTCTGATTTTTTTATATGATAAAGTGGCAAACGAGCGTTTACCCGATGTTAAGAAATAACTGCCGCCCATGGACATTTGCAACACCCGTAGGGATGCAAATGCGTTCCCACCTTTAAATAAAGTAGGCCCCGGCTACCTCACTCACCAGACGAAACGCAGAAGTGTAACACTTCTACTTTACGCCGGTCTTCTATGAGGTCGTAGTACTTACCCGGACGAGCCTGCCCATTCGTGCGACAGTATAAACTGTTGCGTGGCCCTGCTACAGTTAATCTACCATAGCTATTCAGGTTTCATTAAGCTTAATAACTTTCAGTTGTCGTAAAAATAAAAATAATCTCAAATTTTTTCAACTGATACAACCTAATATTAACCAAATACGTAGGGAAAAATATGTATAATATAATGAACAATACATTATTTATTAACTTTTTTAATCATTCTTAAACTTTGACCTCGTTTAATCAAACTTTAGCGAAAATATTCACTGTATCTCGCTTTATCGATAGCGCTGCATTTGTGTACATAACTCATTTATGGGGTCACTTCGCGACGCTATTGATGCTCTATTGAGTGTAAGTGCACTTCGCAGATGAGCTTCAAATACTCTCAATCTTCGCAATAAACGCATTCGAATATTATTTGTATTGTTACAAATAAATTGTATAATAATAATATAATAACAATTTATTTGTAAAAACATGGCGTAACATGGTTTAAGGCATTCAGATGTAATGTCATAGTAAAGTTTTGATATGTTTTTTTTTTAACATTAAATTTTAAGTATAAACGAAATTAAAATTTTTGTATTTCTTTATTGTATACCTGTAGAGAAATCCTCCGAACGTTTGTATGTATAATCTGCATAAATCCTTAATTTAACGTTACCAATGAATTAAGATGTGAGTGTATTTAATTACTTGGGTTAATTATAAATAAAAAAAGATAAAAGAAAAAAAAACGGAAGGACGGCAAACAATAAAGACTTGACTGATTTCTACGGCGCGATAAGGTAATTACGGACAACAACTTTTACCTTGGTTTTTGTTTTCGATCCGTAGACTATTGAAGCTTCTTGAACGAAGTACTATCTGGCCAGAACCCACGAGCTTGGTATGGCCCTCCGCGTTGGGTAAAGCCGCGCATGTGCTCATGCGTGCGTTATCTTGAACGGGAAGTATTGCACCGATTGACCGAGGTTCCAAACCGAGACCCCCGATGACCGTTGACTGTAGTCGGTGGTGACCCATCTTGGAACCGTGAGGTATTTTGTGTACCTACGTGTTGTATGGGGTCAGTCGTGCTTATGGGCGAAGAGTGACAACAATAAACATACGATGATCAAGCTTGCGTTGCTAACTTTTAGAGGGTGGACCTTCGGTAACTTGAATTACCGGCACATTTTCATTTATAACAAGAATGTTCTGGAGTTAAATTATTTATTTATATACTTAATTCAAAAATTGATTTCATCACGAATATGAAATTTATCTCTCGTAATTATAACATAAACGTTACAAACGTTCAATAAAACATAAAATATTATTATTGACGACGAATAATAAAAGATAAATAAATACGAATAATGAATAATAAAAAAAAATATTTTGATTGCTTAGAACAACGAGATAAGTTTTTTTTTTCAAAAAGCGAAAATTCATCGTTCTTCCACCTTCCTTCTATTCCTACTGTTTTATATTTCACTATTCGAAATTATGACGATGTACGTCGTGATATCGCATCACTGTTATATTATCTTGTACTTAAGAATATTGGAGTCAGATGATTGCATGGAAACTCATTCAGTAAACATCGCAATTTCTATAAAATAAATTGCAATCTTACCGTGGATCCAACAACGTGGCCACTTCGTTAATCTAAGTAACTTATTTTCACTCGAGGGAAGTGGATTGCACAGTTTCACTACCATTTCACCGCCTCTGACAGGATTCGATAGGGTCAAGCATTGATAAATTGCAATAAAAATAAAGGAGAGAAGACGTCGAGATAGTCACGCGGCGATGACATCGCTTTGCTTAGTGGTTAGTTTTTGGGGCTTAAGCTACCTGGAGCGTTACCTGGAAGGCGTAGGAGTCAGCGCCGAATAGCTCTATGACAAGTTACGTATCGTACGAAATATATTCATGCATATTCTTTCTACAATTTTAATAAATCTTACTCATAAAAACACACACACAGGTGGGGTGAATTAATTTTGCAAATGTATAAATTTTATACTTACTTTAAACTTTTTTTTTAAGCGAAAAGTTGGCAAACGAGCAGACGGTTCACCTGATGTCGAGTGAATACCGCCGCCCATGGACATCTGCCACACCCGAGGATTACAGATGCGATGACAACCTTTTGAAAATTGGGCTCCGACTATCTCACTCACCAGACGAAACTTTTCACAGAGCTGTTTATCCACAGGCCGCCCTATTTAATTTGACACAGCGCTTTACCTAATTATGATTTACCGTAACGGTGATGAACGCTGGAAACGGTTCGAAACGTCTCGGGATTTAAAAATCTAAATTATAACACGATAATAATAAGTTTTTAATAAAAAAAAAAAAACCTGTACTATGGTCTTAAACATTTTATTTAAATAAAATACGCACATTTTTTCACATAGGTATAATGAAGTACTGAAACTGATACAAAATAACCTATTAAATATTATCACCATTACTTTATTCTCAATCACAAATAACTGCTAAATTTCCTTTTTAATATAATGGAAACACAAAACAATACAATTTTATATATTAACGTAAAAACTAAGCCATTAAAACTATTTGAATAATATAATTCTATTCTTAATTATGTACTAAAAATTAGCATCGATCAGCCAATTTTCGCTTTCCGTAGGATACTCGTGAGTTAAAAATGTGCATTTTTGTAGACAAATGAAAACTTTCCAGGTTGCGGGATTCGAACCTGGGCATTCCGGTTAAATTCTCATTAAAAAAATCTACTCTAGTCATGGCGCTCATTTTTTTTTCAAACAATGCTTGAAAAAACAGGTCCATTTTTATTAACGAAAAAAACAAAACCGACTTCAAATATCTCGTTTTGTATTTATTTTATAATTGATTTATAGGATTGATTTTTAGTATCTCCGGTGTCCAAGATCCAATACCAATGAAATTAATATGGGAAAAATGGGAAATACCAGCTTTCAAAGGAAAAAAGAATCGTCAAAATCGGTTCACTCAGTCGAAAGTTCTGAGATAACAAACATAAAAAAAAAACAGTCGAATTGAGAAAATCCTCCTTTTTTGAAGTCTAACCGACTTCAAAAAAAGAGAGACATCTAATGGGCACACTTGATCCAGAAGACGCAGGTTGGATCCCGAGAGTGCATTTTGAGTGAAGAGACTAGCACTAAAAATAGAAATCAATTCTAAAACTCATATTCAATATCATAAATTAAGGCTTTAGTATATTTTAACATGTTTATGTTTATCGAATATTGTCGCATTGTGAGTAACTAAATTTGTTTAACCATAGAGTAGATTAATAACTAATACATCTACACAAATATGAATACAGATTAAAAAGATACTACGCACGTAATGAAATAAACGTAATAAAAACTTTATGCTACCGTAGGAAGAAATCTGGATGGCTGAGTTTAATTAACAGTAACTTGTAATAAGATTTTCAATATATTAAATCCTTAATGATTTTTTTGGACTGTATCATTGTTAAGAATCCAAAAATAGTTTAACAGATACACGTACATTTCATAGGTACCAGATGCGGTTGTTTCTGGAAAAAATTTTTCAAGTTATACTTCTTTTGGCGCGTTTGGAAAAATATGGGAGTAAAATTTTTATACATGCGCGCGCGCACACACCCCCAATAAGTAACATGATGACATTGTTTGCAAAGCGTATTACTATGGTAACAAATAACGACTTTTTGACATTTACCTATAATTATTTAATTAAACTTTTACATATATTTAATGTCTTTTTCACAAGCAAAGAATACCTACACAATAGGTAAAAATTTTGATTATTTTTCTTTTGTAACGCTAAAGAAGTATAACTTCTTACATATATACATAAGTATGCACACAATTTTTTGTATAATAAGCAAAAACTTACTTTAACTAATATACACAACATACAAAATATTTACCTTAGGAACTTCAATTTTCAGTTTTTATATTGATTAATTGTAAACCCTTAAAACAAAACAAATGTTGCATCACTGGGCAGAGAGCTTTTGTACAAATGTCTGCTTTTGAAACAGTATACACTATTAAACACGGAACCAAATGTGCAATTTCCTCTGTATTTCTCAAGAATAAATTTGCAAACGAAAACTTTTTTCTTTGAAAATTATCTGTAAATATTAGGTCTAAAATCTTGATTGTGTCTTTAATTCAAAGCGAGTGATCTGTCAATGCCATAGGATATAGGTAGAGCCTACAAAATCACGTCGACATGATTATTCCGAATACAGTTTTTATTTATCCTAATCACCACCGGTCAGATTTTGGTTCCATTAAGCATGGCGCGGTGATAAGAACTAAATCACCACACTTATAAAAGTTATCGAAGCAACAATCCACCATCTGCTTGAACAAATTGTCTGCATTGCATCAAAAGAACACTATTAGTGCCTTAGTCCTAGACTGGTCATTCTTCTGTGAAAAGTTGTCAAGCAAGCAGGCGGTTGACCTCACGTTAAGTGATAACCGCCGCCTACTGACATTTGCAACACCAGTAGGATTGCAGACTAGTTGCCACCTTATAACAAAGTGGGTCCCGGCTACCACACCAGGCGAAACGCAGAAGTGTAACACTTCCACCTCACGGCGGTCATCTGTGAGGCCGTGCTACTTCCCCGGAGGGACCTGCCCATTCGTGCAACAGCGAAGACTGCTGCGTTGCTCTACATCAGTCAATTCCGACTTGGTCAAGACGTGGTGCCAAGGGCTGGCCGATTACTCCGGCCATACCACGCCCATTTCGGTGACGGTGAGGGCGATCTGGGCGGGTTCTGAGGGTTCAGCTTCAGGGGACCCCAACAGTATGGGGGCCACCACCCCCTTGGCGACGGGGACCGTGGGTGGCTTTCCGCCCTTGATGTAGTGGGTGGGGTAGTGCTTCTTCAACTCGCGCATCAGTCTAAACTTCATGTTGCACACCGTACAGCTGTAAACGGAGACGATATAAATGAAAACGTGGCACTAAATGCTTTAGTAAAGTGTAAACTAGCAGCCTATGTACGGAATGCAATAATGAATGAGAGGATTTAGGGCTGGTTCCGCCGTGCGATAATATTGAGATGCAAATAGTCAATTTGGAACATCACTAAATTTTATAAGGAAAGCCAGTGTTCGGAGTATTTGTGAGAGCTTCCTATAAAATTCTATTTTTCATAAAGTAATTTAATATAAAATAATAATTAATAGCCTTTATATGTCTCACCCCTGGGCAAAGCCTCTCTATGCAGAGGCTTATTAGGGCTAAGTCCGACACGCGACCCCACAGTGGGTACGGACCCGACTGCGGGTACTGTGGGTACGGAACTCTAAAATCCATATGTACTCACTGGTATATGTTCTGGCCGACGTGCATCCTCATGTGCTTGATGGCGTCGTTGCTCTGGGTGAAGGCGCGCTCGCAATACTTGCAGCGATAGGGCTTTTCTCCAGTGTGGATGCGCTGATGCCTCTTCAGGTGGTCCTTGCACGTGAACCTGCCAAAGTGGCGATGTCGTCAGCGGCGAGGTGATTATTACCCGACTGCGCCAGAAGGCGGGTTATGTTTTTCGAGAGTGTGTATGTATGTATGTATAATTGTTTGGCACGCTCTGCAGCCTGAACGGCTTGATAGATTTTAGCTTGAGATGTGTGAAATTATATTCTACTTGTTTTATTGAAAGAAAAGTTGGCAAGTGAGCAGTAGCTTCAAGTTGAGTCATTAACGCATTCTTTTAACGTGAAAACTAGTCAATCGAGCAGCCGTCTGGCAGGACATTTACAACATCGGATTTTAAATGGGTTGCCAACCAATATATTATACTATTGTTTATACATGTGGGAACATATTTTTTCTATATGACTAATGATATTTTATTCTATAGATATAGCATACAAAATCACCGGTTGAAAGTGTTCCTGTTTCCAAACAGTGACAGCACACGTTGTGAACGTGTTTCGTTCGAATGGTAAAAAAAGGATGACGTAACTAAAGCAAGTGTTCTTCACTTTAGCATAAGTATAAAAACAATCAAGAGGTGCATCCGTCTTTCTCGTCCTCGTATTAAATTTATTTGCTCTCTCTTTCTTTGTTTACGTTATTAGGGACTGACATAACGTACTGTACATAGATTTAAAAGTAATAAAACATGCTGAATTTGGCAATATCCGCATTATACTAATAACCTTCTTTAATAGGCCCATGAGCACATCCATATAACATTAATATAAAAATAAAGTTTGATATAAGCATCATCCCGCGCTCAGAAACGGTCCCGACCTCAGGTCCAAGTTTGTCCATGAAAAATTACTTCAGTTTCATCAACATAGCACAAGATGTCTGTAATTTTAATATTGAGCACATGAATATTATTAATATATAATAAAAATAATGTGGGCCCAAGAATACTCCCTGCGGAACTCCAAAACGTATAAACTGTACCTACTTACTATATCACTAATTTTCACATACTGTGCCTGCTCCATTAAGTGACATCTAAATCAGTCCGTATCGTACCGTTCCGTATTTCTTAGAAGTAAGGAAACGGAGACAGAGTCAAAGGCCTTATCTAGGCCTAAAAAGACACCGAAAAAAAGTTATTCTATCTTTAACTACCCACACGCATTATAAGACAATTCACCGCTTACCTCTTGTTACAAGTTTCGCATGCGAACGCTTTCACGTCGAGGTGTATGAATTTGTGCTTCTTCAAAGAGTTCGGCTTCGTGAAGCTGGCGCCACACTCGTCGCATTTGTGCGGGTGGGCGCCCGTGTGGGTTATTATGTGACTCACCATTTGACCTGCAATACGTTTGGCTAGCCTGAAACCTCACCTACATGGTAGTTTGTTGAAATGAAAACTTCTCTAGACATGTGGAGCAATTTTAAGGAATAAATCACTGAATTCGCGGGACCATCACGGTAACATTATTTTAATCAGATACATATAATTGATTAAAGTAATGTTAAAACTACAATCGGTAGAATTAAAAAAAAATATTTATGCATTTATTGTTATTATATAGATCATTCCTTTTTAATTTAAAAAAAAAAAAAAAATTTTTTTTCACTTAATACAGTAATATAATTTAAATTTTGATATGACATGTTGATAATAATTTCTAATAAAATATAGGTACTTCATGTTTACAAGGTATAGAGTTTTTATTTCCGACATGCATCCTATGACTATTTTATTTTTTATTTTAGAGAGATGGACGAGTGGGCTGAGCATTGACTAATTTATCAATATCTAGTACAACCGCATACAGAAGTTTTGCAAAAGGTTGAGCTCCTTTCAGTCTATTAGAACCCACCGACTCTGGCCTATAAGAAGGGATATTTAACAATACAAATTATTTAATTTTTTTGGAAACTTCACAGTATTGCAAGAATCATAAAATAAAATTAACAAAAACATGAAATTTGAAGTGTTAGTAAATAAGAGTGTTAGAAAAGAAGATAGTTAAAAGTGTAAACTCAACAATTTTTATTTTATGTTTCATGGGTAAATCTTATTTTAGATAAAATTATATATAGTTTAAATAAAATCATATGAAACTGGAAGTATATTGATGTATGTACATAAAAAGTTTAAAATATTTAAATTTACAATAATGAAGTAATCCTCACCTTTGGTACTGAATGTCTTTGGGCAAAAGGTGCAAGCAAATGGCTTTATACCGGAATGCCTTATCATGTGTTGGCGCAGGTTAGAGTTGTTTGTGAAGCTTTTGCCACATTCGGAGCATAAATATGGGGCTTCCTTTGTGTGCACCCGCAGGTGATCTTTTAAACTGCATAACTGGAAGAAACCTGAAATGACATAAAAAATTTTAAAAGTAAGTTATAGATGCATAATTACTAAATACACTAACGGGTACATAAAAATGACATTTATAAGGAATATAATTTTGATTATATATCAATTCATTATTAAAATATAGAAACAAAAATAACAACCGCACTCAAAAAAGTTGAAGATGTAAATTGATCAATATATCATACACCTTAAAATAGAAAGATTTAAATGGAAAGAAAATTATAACAAGTACTTAGTTTCTTTACACATCAATTTATTTTTCTGTAAAACTTTGTACATGGACAACTACTTTATATAAGAATACCGATTAAACAACAAATAACAACAGTTAAAAATTAGAATGATGCAATTATTCAAATGTGTTTCATAATTGTATTATATATTATTGGTGTCATGTAATGAGTTTGAATATGATAAATAAAAAAATATTAATAAAAAAAACATTACCTCTTAAGATTTAATATTGTCTCTAAAACTTCTTACTAATAGAATGAAGCAAAAAAAAATCTTACCTTTATTACAATATGAACAGACATGAGATCTGACTCTATCATGCCTCTTCTCATGCTCAAGTAGTTGATCTTGTCTTGTATATGTTTTTGGACACTGTTTGCATCTGAATGGTCTATCGACTGAATGCAACTTCAAATGTCTTTTTAAGAGTGGCTTCATGGAAAATGTTTTGCCGCAATAGTCACATTCAAACCTAAGGATATTATCTGTTTTTACATACCAATTTCTATGTTTTCTTCTATGTGAATTTAAAGATCTTTCTTTATAAAATATTTGATCACATTCTTTACATTTATATACATTTCTATCTGCAACTAATTCTACATGTGTTTCTCCCAAAATGTCAGCTATACTATCAGTAAACTCTGATTCAGACTTCACATTAGACAGAGTGTTTGAATGATGTTTATCATGGATTGTTAAATGACTTAAAAAAGTTTCGTGACTTGAGTAAAGTTTGTTACATTTTTCACATTGATAGAAACCTTCCTCGTTTTTCTCTTCAACTTTAGGTAGGAAGGAACTTGGGCAGATTTCAGTAGCTTCATAAGCTGGTTCAAAATTTGTTGTTTCTTCTAAATCTTCCTGTTTAAACTCTTCTTTTACGTTACTTTCAGTGAAAACCAACTTTTTCAGCTGCTCTTCGACTTTCAAAGCATTACAACGGAAAGTTACCACCATTTGTAAAACGTTTAGGCAGTCACCGCAGACGTTTTGTGGCAATCCATCGTCTTTTTTTACCTGTTGACACAATGAGTATAAAACAGATATGGCTTATTTTAAGCGATCTATAATTAAATCAAACGAACTACCTGAGCGGCTGTTGTTGACATCAAAACGTCGGCTAAAAGGACATTGTAATTATCCTCAGCCTTTATATGACTAAACAAATCAAACAAATTGACAGTATTCTTCATACAGGTTCGACATAAAACAGTAAAATCCACCATTTTTACAAAAAGTAAAATATACTTTTACTTGTAGCTACATTACACACAATTTACTTAATAACAAAATATATTCATTATATTATTGTTTCGTTAATACTTGACAGCAATGAATTTTGACAGCAAAATTTGACAATGTTGGCACCACAGTTGGATAATAATAAGCAATAGTTAAGGCCCATTTACATGATGCCAGTTTCTTGCCTGTTGTATACAATTAAATTGAAGCAATAAATGAGTTGCATGTCTAAACAACAAATGGTCTAAACAATTATTGCGCGCAATTTATTGCATTCAATTATTGCTCTTGTATGTTCAAGAAAATGGCATCGTGTAAATGGGCCTTTACTGTCGTCTGCCACTGTTAGCCATTGAATTTTTGAACTTTTTTTGTATAAGATTAGATTTTTATAGAAGATTTGACAATTTCGTTAAATTATTTTACAGGCGAAAACCCGCGTACTCAGAAGAACAACGTAGTTGTGCAAGACACGACTTGTGGTAACTGCACCGCGATATCTCCGCGACCCGTATTAACGAGAGAATTTCACCCAATTTCATGACACGACCCAAAGGCTCTTTTGATAGAAGATTTCCCCCCTGAGCAATTTTTACTTTGTGGCAAAATTTACCTACGTATTCTAATGATACTGTAGCAGTTTTTCATTGTCTAACAACACAGCTTCAAACATAATCGAGATTGAGGAATAATACTGTGAAAATTCTTATTTATTCATCAGACATACTTTCGTTAAACGGTTGATTATAAAAATTCACAAAAAAAAAAACAATTCTTTTACGAGATAATTTAATTTAAAGAGAGTTTTAATTGCATAATATTGACAAGAACACAAGATTAGTAATAAGCTATTCGCGGAATTCATTCATGGACGAAGCGTTAACCAACGTATTTATATAGGACATGGATTCTTTTGAATCATTTTATTATATACTACAAAACCATGACGCCACCCCGCATCACCCAGTATCCTGTATCTGCTGACCTCTATTAGTGAAGGATGGACAATCGACTAATAACAGGGACCATGAAACGACAATCATTGTGTACACTGTGAATCGGGGACCTCACGCTTGCCGTTTAGTGGTGTACTACTGAAAAATTTGTGTATTCGTTAATGAATGTGTTGCGTGCCGCGGTAGGCACGGTGACGCATCAAGGGGTGGTAAACCATTTAGACCTCCGTTGCTTCTTCCTTCGTTGTAGGGCGCTGACAGGAAAATTAAAATCACTATAATATACGTTTAAGTCACGATGCAACTCGCTGTTTCACTTGCGCGCCACACCATATAACAAATACCGCTCGATCATGACCAAATCTCACTCGAAATTATTAATATTACTTTTGAAACTAATATTAAAAAGACGGTACCGGAATCCTTAAGCAATCCTCAAACTTCGAGTAATTAAAACTTTCAATTACAGAAGCTCAGAATGTCGGACGTCCGTCGAAAGTATTCTTTGGTCCATCGGTCATTCGATGCGGAAACTAAAACGGTCTGTTTTATTATATGAAATACTGCATTTAGGTAATATTTTTTAATAAAATAAAATTTGGAATAAATTTCTATCTAAATTAAATTGTGAAACGTAATGCCGTGTGATGTGTTGACTGTTGATTATCTTTCTCGTTCTTATCTTACCGACTTTTGTTTAGGTCACAGTCAATGTGAAGAAGTAAGAATATTGAGGAAAGTTATTAATAGTTTTCTAGACTTCCTGCCTTTGTTAGCCTATTTTTGTTAAATTAAAGTGTGTGAAATAATATCTTGCTATGGACGATATAGTTTTTGTTGGTGATTGGGTAAAAGATAGAGTTTTAGGATCAGGAAGCTTTGGTACAGTTATTTTATGGAAACACAAGCACACAGAGAAAAAACTTGCGATAAAAACTTGTAAATGGGGACCTGAGCTGACCGCGAAGCACAGGGAAAGATGGACAAAGGAGGTAGAAATGTTACAAGGTTGCAACAATGCCAACATTGTCGGAACGAAGAAACTCCCAATGGAGTTTGTTGTTGGTTTGGAAAAAGCTAATCCATCTAAGTTGCCAATTCTTTGTATGGAATACTGTAGTGGTGGTGATTTGCGTCAAGTTTTAAACAAACCTGATGCTTGTGGTGGCTTGAAAGAGATCCAGGTGAGACAAATACTCAGTGACATTAGAAACGCAATGCAATTTTTACATGCTAACAAAATCACCCATAGAGATTTGAAACCTGAAAATATTGTTTTGCACATTTTGGATAATGCATGTAAACCTGAAAATGTTCAATGTCAAAGAAATGTTGTATACAAACTTATAGACCTAGGCTATGCTAAAGAAATTGACTCTAATTCTGTTTGTGCCAGTTTTGTTGGAACATTACAATATCTTGCTCCTGAAATATTTTATAGTAAGACTTACAGCAATTCTGTGGATTTCTGGTCTTTTGGACTTATAGCTTTTGAGATTATATGTGGAGTGAGGCCATTTCTCCCTTATTTGGCACCAGTACAGTGGATGCCCCATGTTAAGAAAAAGTTACATGAACACATTTGTGTGTATGAAACATTTCATGAAGATATAGAATATTCAAGTGAAATTTTACCTGAAAACCGTATATCCAAACCATTTAAACTCCTGATGGAAAAATGGTTACAAGTGGCTTTAGAATGGGATCCTAAACTGCGTGGCAGGGTTGCACCATCAAAAGTTACATTCAACTTGCCAACAGAAGAAAAGGAAACTGCCAGCAAAATAGTTATATTTGATTTACTACAAGCAATATTAGCAAAGAAAGTCATCAAAGTTTTCTCAGTAACAACATTGTCACATCTGGCTTATGAAATAGACAACTCTACAAAAATAGAAACATTAAAATTATGGATAAGCCAAGACACTAAGATTCCCATCGAGGATCAGATTATTATTTCTGTGGATACATATGTTAATGCTGCAAATGATGATCTTGTTACTAAGTTTTGGAATGAAAATAGCACTCCAATGGTATATTTATACGGAAAAAAATCGATTGTTAATGATAATATTGAATCCTTGGTTCCAATTGCTGTTAGAAGATGTCTAGAACATCCTAAGGCATTGTACAATTATAAAAACAGTCAAAATTTGTACAGGAATGTGTTTTATTTTATTCTCTCACAGATGGAAATTTATGATTTCCTGATTAATGGACTTTTTGCAAGAGCTGAATCATTAAAACAAGAAAGCAAACAGCTTCTCATAAAACATAATTCTGTTGACAAAGCATTAGGGAAGTTGCTATCAAACAAAGAGATTATTGTTAAAATGACTGAACTGGGCAAAGAGCACATTGAAAATTTCAAAGAAAATAACATTGCCACAAACTTTATTGGAGGTTTTGAAAAAATATTTAAGGATGTCCGAGATCAGTCTGATAAAACTGAAAAATTACAAAGTGCTTGGTCTCAACTCTCTGTAAGACTACAATCTGCAGCTAGGAGAAGTAATGAAGCTATATCTGTAGATCTCAATACTTTTGTAACAAAATACAACTTTCAGAGTATTTTTACTAATGCTCTAAAATCTTATAATGCTTTCAAGAAAAGTGAATTTTATGGTGAAAATAAAAGCAAAGATGTAAAAACTCAATTTTATAATGTTTCTGACATTGTTCGCTCATCATATGATTGCCTTAAATTGAGGAGTAAAATTGTAATGGAAATGCAAAACCAGGCTTTTATTCTAAAATTGAAAGACCTTTGTGTTGAGTTGTCAAAAATCGGTGAAATCATTACTAATGCAGAGGAGACTACAGAGAAGTTGACTAATAATTTATCGACTTTGACAGATGATTTAATTAATCGCATGTGGTCCACGACAAGTCTTGTGATGAGGGATGCTTGTGATAACATATCAGAACTTCCTTATAGTGTGGTATCTTTTCAGAAGAGAGATTTCAAAATTGGGGAGAGAGTATCCAATGCCTTGCCCGTAAATTTTGAAGATGGTCAATTAAAATCCCTTATTCAAGAAAGTGTAAAAATAAGAAAATGCCATACAAGTCTTTGTGAAAAGTTGAACTCGCAACAAATGCTATTAAAGAAAGCGAGCCTCGACTTTAGTTTTCTTAATGATGAATAACCTTTATGTTATAATTTAGGAGTGCGGAATAAATATCCAAAGAATTTTATATGTGCCTTATATTAGTATTTAAGACAAACGTTTTTATATTTTTATGTTAATTAGTAAATTATATTTTATAATTTTTGTATTTTATTTGAAAAATTGATTTTAATGTTTATAAATTTATTCTAGTCATTTAAAGTTCATGTTTTTGTTATTTTATAATCTAACAACTTACAACTTTTTTAAATGTTTTGTCTATTCAATACTGAAATAAACAATTTATTCTAAAACCATGTTTCATTCTTAACTACAGCACAGAGACTAACCATTGCACACATGACATCACAATTCTTAAGGAAACATTAATGCTAAGTTTATACAAGGACATTTTACAAGATACTACTACCGGTGAACTGTTCAAGCCAGTTTTTAAAATGACTCATGTTTTCTGCTAATTTTTGCGTACAAGCCGGGGTTTGTAGATATTCTTCTGGCGCAATCTTGGGCTCTGGGCTACCGCAGACGTGCAGCCATATGGCGAATAACGCGTCTTCCATCGTGGCGATAGACCTGCGGCAGAGTCTAGCTGAAGTTAACGAGACAATAACCAAAGCCCCGATGCACCCAATTGGTGCCACTGTCAACCTTTCTTTTCTCGCTGCTACGAAATAAGCTTTCAGAAGATTTTCAGCACACCTATCTAAGCTGACGTTCAGTCCTGCAACCAGGTTAATATAGTCCGTAAGGTCTTTTACGGCGTTTTTCTCGTCCCTACTCTTTATCATACGCTCGGTACAGTTCTGTAGCATGAATTCTGATAAATCATCAGCATACTCTCCATAGTCTCCGCGGCAGACTGACCCAAAAATACTCGATAAGTTTCTAACGTTCATCTTATTGAAATCATTAGAGTGCGCCCAAACTGCGCACTTCAATTCAATCTCACCACTTTCGGAAGCAAGTACGCCGCTTTCCAAAGTTTTCAAAACCATTGCTATCTGCTTTTGGTTGTACAAGTGAAGGGGTATGGGTAACACGCACACACCACCCGAACTTGCAATAAATGACAACTTAACCGAGCTATTCGAGTTTCCTAAGAGAAATGAACTATCAGCGTACACCAATGCTTCCCTCATAAGATCTCCAACGTACTTCGTTTCGTGACCTGATACTAATACATTTATTATAGGCGACCCCAATATATAATTAGACTTCACACTTACTAAACTGAGTAGTAAGCTAATTTTGACGTGTATAAAACAATGTAATGGACATGCTCGAACGCCGATGCTAGATGCGAGGCAGTATATAAACTTCCATGGTACACCTTCGCACGCTTCAAAAAGCTGTTCAATATCATCAGGAATGGGAAATGTTAATGGCGCAGGTGAAATTATAACCTCTTCAATGGACCACACGGTTTTGGTATTTTTCAGAACAACTGAATGAACGTTGAATCTTCTCCCTATCTTTAACTTCGGTATCAAATCGTCGGAAATTAAAAATTTTATCGCGGGAGGATAACGGTTTGATAAAAATGTTGCAACTAATTGTTCAACGCATCTCCTCAACCCGCCATTTTCGAAGAGAACACTTCTACAAACATAACATTTCGGCGGGACTCTCGGTATATAGTGCAAAATTACTTCGTTATCTTCACACTCTTCAGGACAGGTCCAAACTGTGTGAATAGCATAAGAGTAAGGTTTCGAAACATCCAGAAGTAATCCAGTGAATATTTCAAATCCGCCATAAATTTGTGTAGATAAGATTGGGGGAAAGCATTTTAATCTTAATGTTACCGCTACTTGCATCGGCGCTACAAATTGTTTATCCTCGTTATCAGTCGATTTAATACAGGCGAAAAATACTTCATTACAAATTTGCTGAAATTGCAATGGTTCTTTGATTAGTAACTCCGCTAACTCGGGAAAAATATCCAACAACTCCATTACGTCAAGTTCCAATAAATATCTTAGAGGTGGAAATTTGTTACTCAATTTCTCAGAATATTGATCTAGAAACATGTCGCAGCTATTTTTCATTTTAGCTAAGAAACGCCTTTTGTCAAGGTAAAGCAATAACTCATATCTTAATTTCATCTGTCTCAATTTATGTGGACCGGCAATTAGGGTTGATTTTAAAACGAAGATTTTCCCTCCAAATTCATTTAATAAAGACCACTTTTTTACGCACTTTTTTAAATTTATTTCATGACAATGGATACAGGCATCTATTGATTTTCTTATTAATTTCATTAATTTTACCAAGTCGTAAGTATGATTTTTGCCCATCCGGAAGTAAAATAACTTTCGTGACAAATATATTTAATTAATAAAAATGATGGAGTAAATTTTAAATGTAATGTAAGAAAATATCTGAAAAAAAGAACGATATTATATATCGTTCTTTTTTTGTTGCTATTAGATATTGTTAAAATGAAATAAATCATTGAATAAATCTTGTTTAATTTTATCTAAACGTATTTTGTTGCATATTCTAAATACGAGAAAATAGACACTTTGAACCAAGATGAACTTAATTATTACCACGCATTTTAAAGTCATTTAAAAATTAAGAAGAAAAGAAAACATTTAAAACACATTTTTTCTGAAATCAGTTCAAGGGTTAACCGTATCGGGTGTATCACCGTTTACTGGTACCAGAGTTGGTTTGTACCCATAAAGATCCGACTACATCCTTATTAAGATAACGAGAAATGCGAGTAATAAGTCGGCACGTTAATCTTACGGATTTATTGCATAATCGTCACTTTGCAACACTTCGGTCGCCTACACGGCACTGTTAAAATGCAGACCCACGCCTCAAGAGTGTACCCTGTGAAGGTTAAACGAGATTTTGCCATAGCTGTCGTATGCGGAAATACCAGATTTCGATATGCTAATTTGGTTACGACTTTAAGGATTCATCGCAATAATATTATAAAATCGGAAGTTTGTGTGTAGGAAACTGTTTTTCTTTCATCTTTTCCTCTTAAGACAAAACTTAAGAAATTTAGGAGGTGATGGGTAATCAATCGACAACTTATAAATATCATTTGGTTTCTAATTTTTACTGTAAAAATTGCCTTTTTATTTTAACCAGAGTAAAAGATAGCCGCCTCTTTTTATGAAAACTTGCATTCTTAGAGTGACTTTTCCTAGCCCTTTAGTGAGCACTAAATTTGTTCATTTTTCTTTCACTTTTCTCGGTAAATAAAGTTATAAATATCCTCTCTGCAAAGTACTTTAAATTCACGGTTCACGAGATGAAATCGCATTTATAGAATTGTTTAAAGGGGGTTAAAAGCAATGATTTTATTTATTGTTGTATATAATTATTTATTTATCGTGTGAGTATCATTGGTTAAAAGGCTGTTCAAGTCTTGGGTGATTAATAAAGTTGACATACTGATTTGTCACATACATAACCCAATTTGCTTCTACCGAAAGAGGAAGAAAAGAATAATTTATATATAAAATAAAGATGATGTAATAAGTACCATGTAGACATCTGATATGTGAAGTTTCTAAGATATTTGTGATGTGTCGGAATCGAAGGCACGATCAGCGCCATTTTGGCGAAAAAAAGTTTTTTTTTCAAGAGAAAGTTTTAAGCGAATAAATCTAGGTACTAGTATAGTGTAAATACTTCTACTTTACACCGTTCTTCTATGCGCTTCTTACAGAAGTACCTCGTTCAGTGAAACCATTTGTTTGTACAAACGCTAATAATATATAACTCTATAATGTTCGGTATAAATATATAGAAGGCAGTAGGTAATCAACAGTCGGACACGTTGGTTGCTAATTTACGTAAATGCATCAAATATACCTTAATAAGCACAACGGGGGTGGGAAGCTAACGATGCCCTACTTTGCGCGAAGATGTCACCGTCATATCAAACAAGAGTACATCGTTGCGATCATCTGCCCACGCGCACGATAAAGCGAAAGAGCCCACGCTAACTACCGTATTCCCCGACAAGGCTCAACAATTAGCCTCTGTAAAAGTATGGACGGAAACGTCGAAATCTATATGCTAATCCAATCAAAACGACCTCAGCCCGCGCTTTGCCGCCTTTTCATTCATTGTAAACGTATCGTCAGGCGGTTAAACGTTATATTTTATTTGTTATTTCATATATTTAACATTGAAGATTGAGGATGCGGAACAAAAGAACAGAATTAGTTTATTAGTCGAGTCTTATAACTTATTACAAATTTTTTTTTAAATTATGATTACGTTAGTTGAGTAATTTTGTTGTAGTCTTTGAAGACGGTAGGACTGAGTGTTTACTTGAATGAAAATAGATATAGGTACATATATTAGCCACATATAAATTAAAAAAGATGTTCGGTTATAATCCTTTCAATGACAGAATTGTTTTTAGACAAATTATTAACGTCAATTAATTTGACGGATAGAATGTAATTGTTTCTTATTCCAAGCTTTTAGCAACATCTATTTATATGTCATTGGTTATTTTTATAAACTTTTACTAAAGAAGTGTGATAACATAATTATACATAATGTGCTTATTTAGTTTAAAAAGCACTTATTTTGTTATTTGAAAAATGCGACGTGAGAAAAGATTTTTGTTTTCGTATTAATTTACTTCATAAACTATAACATGTAAACACTAAACAGAAATGAATAGCATGTTACCTAAGTTCTGTTGAAAGTGATCCTCACAGCTGAATTAGAAGATATCTTACCTAGTTCTTGAAAACTAGATCTTTGAATGGACGATGATTTTGCTTAGGTTTCGTAAAACTTTGTGGGGGAACGTTTCCGTTGTCATTGTGCTTTATCCCCGCTATGTGTTTTCGATAATTGTTGTTTGAGTTTCAATGCCAAAAACTTTTTAAAATTGTATTAAGCATTTACATTCTTTAAACATCAATATTTACCGAGTTATTAAATTTTACAAAATAAACATTTTTAGAACATCCTTATGTATAAAACTGTAACGTAAAGTTTATTTGTAAAGGTCACAAAGTATATAAATGGGTTGAATGAATTTAAAAGAAATAAAACATACTGTTAGAAGGAGAGACTTGTAATGCGAAGTTGTGGCAACGAATGAAAAAGTCTCTGAATGTATGTTCATTTATTGTCGCGGTTGTAACGACACGCTGTATAAGTTTTTTAAAGTTTTTAGTTCATGGATGTATAAATCGATTTCAGATATCGTATCATGAAATATGCGGACACAATAAATACATACTTTTAAAAATAAATTACTGCCTAAAACAATTTAGACACCTAGGTTAAGGGGATCTCTCGGCAGTGTAGGCAAAACAGTCGAGAGTTTGGTACATAAAAGTACTGTGGTAGAAGGTTATTGTGGTTGGTTGCGTAGCAGTCCTTTTGCACGAATTTGCATGCACGCCTGGGGAAGTACCGCGACCTCATAGAAGAACGAGGTGAACAAAATCTAACGCTTTTGCTTCTGGGTTCAAGGTTTTAAGGACTGGCAACACAAAAAACCTCGCGTGTGTTGTAGATATCCTTGAGCGGCGGGATTCACTTAACGCGGGGTGAACCGTTTGCTGACTTGGCACATTCTTATATAAGAAAGAAAAAGAAAGGAAAAACACGGTTTTTGCTTTATGTTGGAGGCAGCTATTTATATTTCAGCAGGGAGTGGTTCGTATTGAAATGCCAGTCGACTCAGATGTTAATAAAGCTTTAAACTTGTATCAACTCGTGCGCGACCGAAATTATTACAACTTATAAAGTTGGAATAATTTCGGTCTGCTTACCAGTACAAAAGTATATCTCCTCGTAAACTATGTATATTCAGGCTTCTAATCCACCCATTCTAAACGATCCTGTTCTAACTTGGTCTCCAATGGGTGTTGATGCAAATATCGCGATGTCGGGCAGGTCTCAACAGAGATTGCCTATCAGGTCACCTTTTCTGTAGGACGGTGCACTCATTGAGACAATGCCTGAGTTATCTACTTAGTTCGATTACCCGCACCTGTACCTGTCCAACTTTAGGGCAGCTTAAACAACCTCGGTATACACAACTTCGATAATTCTTCATCGATTTTCATCATTCGAACGCTATTTCAAAGCTTACGTTTGCCTCTATTGACGAAACTCCTGTTTACTGTTTTCATGAAGACTATGATGAGGCCATCTATTGACAATCCGTTTAAACAAAAGAGCGCAATAGAGTGAAAAGTGTTAGGTCCTCCTCAAAATTAGACAATTCTCATCGACAACTACTTAATTACACAACACAACTATACAATCCTTCGGTGACCGATCACGGTGCTGTGATAATCACCTGGAACAACAGCATATTACCGAATCAGTTTTACCGACTATCGAAAAAAATACTCCTAAAGCAATTTAAAATCCCTTAAAATTCTCAAAATTCAAACCGAAACTTCCTAATTGTGAAATATTTGAGTAGTTTTGGTTTGAAATAACCTTATAAAAAACCTTCCATTTAAAACTTTTTCTTCATATGTTCAGGTAGAAAACTCCTAAGTTATCAAACCATCCGTGTACCGAATTTCCACCTATATCAAGGAAGAAAACTAAGCGCGAACAGCGGCGCGAGCGCTTCTGCGCGCGACTGTACCGGGCGGGGCGTGTGGGCGGCCGCCGGGGCGATCGCGAGCGCGCCAAAGCGGGGCGGCACTCGACTCGGCTCCCGGGCCACTCGATGCCCGATCACGACAAGTACCAGTTGCGTCCGCGGGCCGCGCGCAGCCGAGAGCCGCGCGCGCGCCGAGCGCCCCAGCCGCTCAGCAAGTACCGCAGGAAGACGGCGAACGCGCGCGAGCGCAGCCGCATGCGCGAGATCAACCGCGCCTTCGAAGCTCTGCGGAGGGCGGTGCCCGCCGCCGCGATAACCGGCAGCCCGGTGCCGTGCGAGAAGCTGACCAAGATCACGACTCTCCGGCTGGCGATGCGGTACATAGCCGCGCTGTCGGCCGCCCTGCGCGACGGGCCCGAGATCGACGAGACCCCCGAGCGGTGGCCCTCGCCCCTGTGCTCGGACCTGTCTGAGCTCTCGACGGAGCGCGAGCACTCCGAGTTCGCGGAGGACTCGCTGTCGCCATTCGACACGTTCTTCGCGGAGTTCGACTGCGTGGACATTGACAGGACATTTGCGTGACAGTGCCGTGCCGTGCGGGACCGGATTTAGGTGTATAGTGAAACGATTTGCCATATTATTAATTAATTTTATCAGCTAGTTCGTATTGTCGCATTATTATTTTTGAGATATTATTTATTCGATATATTTTATTTTGTGTAATTTTTATTTTTGTAATAAATTGTTTTCGTTTTTTTATAAGTTACGATTATTTATTCGGAATCTTGTTGATATAATCGTTTTGCCCTGTGATTAATATTGTTAATGAGTACTTTGTATTTTTAAAGCCACATTTTTGTTGTTGTAATAATTTTTTTAAATAGTTTCAGTTAAAATAAGCTAAACAAAAGCTTAATTATTTCGTTTATGTCATTCTAACTAACTAAAAACTCGAAGTAGTTAAACTCTATTACATTAAAGTAAACTCATGTATAAACTACTAATCTATATTCAAAATAAAAAAATATAGTGTAATATTTACGGCAAAGGCTTCTTTATACGGATAGGCGGACTTCACTAATCTTCGAAATATTTACATTGTTTTCCATTATCGCTAAGCACGTGATAAGTTAGTAATTAAAGTTAACAACTTAATTGGTGCCGGGACCGGGGAATGAACTCAGATTACTCGAGTATAGTGAATGAAAAGCTGGCAAAATATGCCTCTTTACTTAAAGTTAGCACTTAACTGTCATTCACTTTTTTCATTTCCCCTTCAATTGGCATCATCAGCCAATAAAAAAACCACCAGTCCGATGACGAAACGAAGCACTGAACGTGTCCCTATTCGTCCCTTTTTCAGCCTGGTTGTAGGTTTCTTCAAGAGGGAGACCAGTTTTCCACTTACCTTCAGGTAGATTGAAAGTCTAGTATTAGCCAAGTTTCTTTTTGGTTATATGTATGTACGGTTTTTTTTTTTTTAATACACATTCTTACACCACAAAATTAGAGTGTCTATTTGTAGTATTAAAATAACTGCTTTTTACTAAATGCATATGGATGTATACACGGTACATATACCAAAATAACATTTTTTACAATTTTTCTGTTCGTTCGGCTGTCGTCTGTTTGTTCCGACCAATCTCTGAAACGGCTGGAGTGATTTGGACTGGACTTTCACTGACAGATAGCTGATGTAATAATGAGTAACTTAGGCTTTTATTTTAGATTTTTTTTATTTTAAATTCCACGCGGACGAAGTCGCGGGCACAGCTAATCTGTATATATAACTGTAAATGTAAAGCACGTTTTTGCACCAGCCAAGCTTTTGATAAGTGAAGAAAAAAATACGCAAAAAATCTTCATATCGAAACTTTAATGCGTCCCTGGATTCAGCCAGTTTATCACAAAGCGGTATAAAGCCACGAAATGGAAGTACAGAGTTCAAGTAAGTTAAAAATTAGAGTTCGTTGTTTATTACATCTATAACAAAGCAGACTTTTGGGGATTAAGTACGCACCGATAATAAACTATCTCAATATTTCTTGTCTCTTTTCAAATTAGAATTAATGGAATCAGTCTCTTTTCAAATTTGAGAGCAAGTCCCTCGCGATAAGTCGCGAGTAGTCGCGCGCTTGGAGGCCGCTGCGGCCTAATGAGAAGAAATAGCATGATTTAGGAAAACGAAGTATTCATTTGATGATCCTGTGGTAGGCTAGCGCGTTTTCTACTGTGGCGTGAAAGGGCTGATCACGGGAAGTACTACGTACAGAAGACCGTCGTGAATACTTTCGCGTTTCGTCTGGTGAGTGAGGTAGCCCGGACTCAATTCTTTGAATGTTGGTACCGCATCTGCTGCCCTACGTAAATTTTAGATGTTCATGGTGGTCTGCTCTCTTACCAACTTTTCACATAAAAAAGAATATTTCGGTTTTAACGTCTCACGTGCAGAAAACTGTTTACAAGGTCGGTGTTTTTAAATTAAGTTTTAAAAACCCATAATCACGATGAAGCACACAACAGTAACCTTTTTTGCGTACTCTATGGTAACGTTATGCTCAATTGGTTAGCCGAGACTCGGACTCATTAATAACGCTTTATATCTTAGGGCAGAGCTAATTTACATTTGTACATAAGTTGGCTGAAATAATAGAATGCCGAAAATCTGTCGACGTCTACAGAAGACTTCAGACTGCCTTTATGGATATCGTTATTGGCAGTAAAGAATTATAATGTAATCCAGTTTTCTTTTACTTTTGCATTACAACGTAAGCATTTATTGTTAGTTACAAGATAATTAATTTGGCAAACAAATCACATTAGAATTTTGGAATTGTAAAAGAGGGAAAAACAAAACGGATATTGACGATGTATAAAGTGCCGAAACGAGGTCTGTGTAAGTAAATGAAATAAAACCTTGTTACAATACCAATGGATTATAAGACGTGAGAGCTTTATTACGCTCTTCATGAAGGGAGAGTGTATAAATAGACTGTTTGCTTAAAAATTTTTCAGTTCAGTTGCTGGGACGTTAAGGTATATATACCATTGGCCACACATTTTCACATATTTCTCATTTTTCGCGCCTCATACATTTAGATCTTTCAAGCTTTATCCAGGATTATATATCCAGGATTATATTATATACTAGACGACCGATAGACTTTGTCCTGTACACACGACTTAAATCCGACGACAACGTATAAACAAAAAAATTAAAAAAAACGTTGTAGGGAACCGAATTGTGAATCTTAAACATTCTCGAATCCTCCAGCCACGGTGGTAGGGCCACCTCAACTGTTGCACGAATGGGCAGGCTCGTCCGGCTAAGTACTACGACCACACAGAAGACCGGCGTAAAGTGGAAGTATAATACTTTCGCGTTTCGTCTAGTGAGTGAGGTGGCCGGAGCCCAATTTCCAAAAGGTTGTCAACGCATCTGCAACCCTTGAGTGTAGCAGATGTCCATGGGCGGCGGTATTCACTTAACATCAGGTGAACCGTCTGCTCGCTTGGCAACTTTTCACAAAAAAAAGCCGTTTAGGAGGATTTCAGTGAGATACACACGTAAAGAAGAATTATATATAAGTACATAAAGATGAGTGATTGTGTATCTTAAAAAAATTGTAAAGTAATTCGATCAACAGGATTCGGCTGTCAAGGGAACAAGATTTGATTGACCAGGATATTTGCTTAACGTAACTTTGTCATAACGTGATAAGCATGTTATTAAATGAACCATTACATATAACTTAAACTAATATTCGCAAAGTTTCATATATTAAGCAGCATTCATAGCCTTGAGACAACCCACTCAGCGGCTACTGATGCATGAGTAGACAGATTTGATCAGGAGTTATCCGTCTGGTGAGTGTAGTCACTCAAAGCCCACTTTCTTAAGCTTGACAACACAGTGTTCTTAAGCGGGGGTTACTCCTTACCACTAACCGATTTGCTTTCTTAAAATATCTTTAAAATAAATAAAATAGCCAAGTACCACTGATCATTGGTCCAAATATTTGACCACATTATTTTAACACTGAACGAAACCGCTTGCGAACATGTTCGAAAAGATAATATCACTTTTTTATCTCAAAAACATAAAATGATTGTTGCATTGATATGAGTGGTTAAAATGTGTTTAATTACTTCGGAACGCGATTGTTGTAATATTTAGGACACGTTTCTAAATTATGTAAGACCTGTAGGTCCGTGCGCGTGGTTCGTGCCAAAATAAATGAAAAATGTAATAAACGTAACCTATGTGTTTCCAAATTATATTCGAATTCCTTCAGCCGCCACAGCGTGAATCGTGACACACATGTTTCTTATATTTGTGCCATACACCTCTGAGTTGGCTCGAGTTGAGTTGTAGGTAACAAACTCTGCCCGTCCCACCTAGACATTTGTCTACGCATATACAGGATGTTTTCCATGCGGGTAGTACGATCAGTGTTTTGATAACTGCTTAATCTTAATAATCGTAGATTGATCTTAATACTTCGTCTGGGTAGTATGTCATTACACAATGAAGAAAAATAGCCAATATAAAACAAACAAGTGTTAGGTACTTTATATTATTGGCTTTAGTCTTTGACTTCGCGTGGACATGGATTTCATGCAAAAAATTCTGCCTGCGCCAGTTAATAGCCAACAAAGTTTTTCGGTTGCAATCAGAAACATTATAATTTAGAGAAATTTAAAGTTTTTATATTGCTAATCTCTGCACTTAAGATTGAACATTAAAATATGTAGAAATAGTACGATAAAAATGACGCCGCTGTTGGAATCGAACCCACGTCTTCGGCATTCGCGGCCTGACGCTCTAGCTACTAAGCTAAACGGCTGATTGCCACACCGACGAAAGTCTTAACGTCTTTTATCTACATTTTTTAAGCATTTGATGCAATGCTTATGCTTAGTGACTGACGGACGGACGGCGGAGTCTTAGTAATAGGGTCTCATTTTAACCTTTAGGTACGGAACCCTAAAACGGGAAACTGTATTAAATATAAAATAATAGAAAACACGGAAGACAGCTAGTACGCAAGTATCAAAAGTCCGCTCGAAGATTTACGGGAGGCTTCTCGAACCATTACTCAGCTCGGAACCAATGGCGCGGAACTATCGTTACGTATAACTAAATAATAGGGCCACGAAGCGTGGGCACGTCTCTCGAAATGCTACACGGTCGCATCTTGAACCGCGCGTCACGCTCGGTGGAACTTTGTCGCGGTGAGCGCGGCGCCATGCCCACGCGCATCGATCTCTCCCATTGTTCTTCTGGACAAGTTGGAACGAAGATAAATATACAACTAGGTTTGACATTAATTGGCCTGGTCCTAGGATGATGAGGATATATTAGGTACTCTATTAGCTAATAATGACAGGTGTTCAGGATAGAACAAGGAAGAAGAAATAACGCTTCTGAAGGTGTTAAATTAATATAATTTCAACTAAAAAATAATTAGTTTGTATTCGAATGTGAGTCCGTTACGGTTGGAAGTCAGTGCGAATGTACAAATTCGAATGGAAATCGTTAACCACTTATAAGCCAATATATTTAAAATCCAACGGTC